CGATTCTGTGTAATCGAAAGTTTGTCTATCGATTATTTAGCACATATAACACACTGGCTACACGCCCCGCCTTCCCACGAATGCATTTATCGCATTAATCTATTTTATTTTATTATTCAGGAAAAAAATAAACCCTTGTTATTTGTCGTTAAATTCGATGGTTACCCTCTTATCACTATCCCTACCGTCCATTTCGACTGGTTACAGTCAAACGGACGGTAGGGATAGTGACAAAAAATGTTGTATATAAATTATTTTAAATGTAACTTTCAATTGTTTATTTAGCTTTCTATAGGTAAAAATGTTTTTAAAATGATTTAATAGTTTTATGAGATTATTGATTACTAATTAAATTTAAATATTAGGAATATTTAAATTAAAATGTTGTCTGAAAGAGGTACCTTGAATTATTTTCAACAGTGAACACAACAATACTATTGTAGTACTCTGTGTTAATTATCCTAGGCTTAGCTACACAAATTCAAGCATAGTACAATAATTTACTATAATATTATAATTATTACTATAATTTATCCATATTTTACCGATTGTCTGCACTCCATATAATTCGTAAAATCACACAAAAAATTCACAATGCGGATTAACCCTAACGCTATCAAATTATTGGAAACAAATAACAAATCAAACGACTTCTTCACCTCGAATGTTACTGATTAGATAGAATAAAAAACCAGACAAGTGTGAGGCCAGCCTAGTACAACAAGAATTCCGAACGAATATATATATTAGGATTATTTTAAAAATTCTAGCCACCATTTACGGCCCTTGCAAAGCATTGACACTTATCTTGCACTATCACTTTATCATGTGATACTAATGACGACACTGAGTCACAGAACTAAATTATGTCTTTTATCCTATAATTTAAATGACAGCCTCGGTGGTCCGCTTTACTTTCGATGGTCGCGGGTTCGATTCCTCACTCGGTATTCATAAGTATAATGTTTGCACCGGGGTGTGTATTTTCTACGTACATGTATTATGTATGTATTTAAAAACAAAAACGCATTTAAGTATTTGTGTCTAGTATACACAACACAAGCTCTGCTTAGCTCGGGACTATATAGCGCTGTGTAAGTTGTCCTGAGTTAGTCCTATGTTATTAATATTAATTTCACTGCATAATACATAATACCCAACAACCGTTTTCTGAAATAGGTGGAACAACAGATAAGAGAATGTTACGTTGTGAGACTGAGGTAACCATGCAGACGAAATGCAGTCTACCTATAATTAGTAATAAAATTGTTTACATTTTTATTCAATTATATATAGTATTATATAGTATATAAGTGTAACGCTAAACCATCTTTCGCTACATTTATATATAGCCAACTGTACCGATGATATTATTTTATTAACCAGTTTAATTAAAAACAATGTTTATGTCTGACATGTGACAATGTCACAGTAAAGTGTAATATTGTAGTCACATGGAAAGTTAACGGTTTCCTATACACATGAACAACGCCGTAAAGAGATATTGCACTGTCATAATTAAATAGTAACCTACGCTATATTGATGCATTTTCAATATCTGCAAATAATTTTGCAAATCTTGGAATAGATCTGGTATAATCTGGTGGATATAACTCTATATGATTCAATATATATATATATATATGAAAACTAGCTGTGACTCGCAACTTCGTGTGTATTTTTTAACATAAAAAATAGTCTAACGCTTTCTATTATAGAATAGAGAAATCTAATTTTACTTTAAGTACATGATACTCTAACATAACTTTCTATAAGTCAAAGAATTTCTAAAATTTATCGTTATTATTTTTTGTGTAAAATAAATATTAGAAATTAAGTTTTGAAATTTATATTAAACCAAATTATCAAAATATAATAATATTAACATAAACGCAACTGGATTAAGGAAAAATAAAAGTCGGAAAAATAGAACCTTCTCCTTTTTGTAGTTGGTTGCTAAAAGCTTTTAATCATAAATAATATGGAAATGTTCACCACAGTCCTCACGTCGGTCGACTGGCGCCTCATAACTGCGCCCAAGTTATAAAATATAACTGGTTTTTGTAGTTATTGTCTATGACTCATTATAACAGCAAATTATAATATTGAACACAACAAAATTGCAAAGAACTATAGATATACGAATTTTAATAAAGACGATATCAGGTTACTTTACATATTCTTGAAAATTTTCATCACACCACAGCTTCAATATCAGATAGTACACGGTACAGTAACTCTTTTGAAATCGATTAACAAAATTTAAGTCATAAATTTGATTAACCGACTACAAAAAAATATTGTCTCATTTTATGTGTCATTAGTACTTTCCACGTGCACCGATTTTGAATTATCAAATAATATCTTTATTTTATATATAATTATCAAATATAACAAATAGGGCCTTCACTATAGGAGCAGGCCGATCAACCGGGGTAGGTACTCCCGGCGCCCACACCCTCGTTGTTAGTAAATATTATGAATAGGTACATTTTCATTTTGTAAATACATAAATAATATACATAGAAACTAATATATGTAAGCGTAACAAATAAACACAAGACAAACTAATTATGTCTAAACCTAGGTCATGTCTAGCCTCTAACGTGTTTGTTGAATATATAATATCTCTATAATTTAATGTAGGTATCATTATATTCTATGGAAAACATCCTGCTAGTCCCACATTGCATTATCAGATGTGTGTAGGTTTCTCCTTTGAAATGGCCCCATTTAGAGTAAGGATGTCATATTTCTTCTGCTGACGATGGTGTTACGTAACGAAAATAAAAAAAAACTCTTTTGAAAATATTTAAATAAGAAGATATTTTTTTATACGCGTAATGACTTATCTTATAATCACTAGATTCTACAATTAGTCCCTGATTATAATCTACTAGTGAGTAGTTTTTGAGATAAATCATATAATCGGCCCATAGAAAATATTATTTATATAATAATTATAACCTTCTAAAATATTTTCTAAGATAAAAGTTTATTACCCATCGTTGTGATGTCTATCTTCATATCAAATTTCATTAATATCCATTTAACCGTTTAGTCTTAAAAAAATAACAATCAGACAAACATTTATATCGGCATGTAACGTGGACAACGAGAAAGACGAATAGTTTTTTTTAATATATGTGTACAGTTATTTAGGCGGCTCGTCCTCGCTATTTAATACGGTTACGAGACATTGGTATTTGTGGAAGAATTTGTTAATATTGACACTCATATATCAATTAATAGAAAGATCTATAGGAGAAAAGACGTACAGCTGTAAAGACCAATTTTATTTATTTACTCTCTATTGCACCAAAAGTAAATCACAAAGAACATAAACAGAAGTAATAAAGTACAAAAGACGATTTTATCGCATAAGCAATTTCTTCCAGTTTCTATTATATATGTAATGCGAATTTAAGTAAATAAGTTTACAGCACCACTGATGGCAAATAGAAATTCTCACCTTTAAACATGATCAGACCCACGGACATTGTAGAGTACCTACATTTTAAGATCTCATAAATTACGAATAGTTTCTGAAGACAAATTATTACCTCGGTATGCTCTAATTTTATTTGTAAAAATATTATTACTGCTCATATTGCCAAACGATACAAATTCAAGGGTGAAATTCAAATTCTATAAACAGAATTCAAGTTGTCGCTTTGAAACTAAAAATAAATATACAAAGTATGAAACGATAACACTTTCGAGTAAAGTGCAATTGCGGCGTCTATTTAATTTATTGTCTGTGGAACTGACCATGAACTATACACTAGTATCATAAACAATCATAATCTAACATCTATGTATATTATCTCAATATAAATCACTAATTCTTTCGTTTGCGCCAACTATTCATTAATAATATAATGTATCTATTAATTAAAATACAATCCAATGACGCACCTAAAGTTCATCGAGACGCGGATCAAAGGGGCCGATTGACAAAACATTTTGATGCCATCTTATCGCACGCCCACACAAGTGTCCACACAATGGATACATACTCGGTTTTTTTGTTTACATAAACATCTAACAATGATGTTATGTCATGTATCATTTGATTGATACCAGTCATTTGGCACTCGTAAAATTTTGATCGACTAAAAAATTAGTTTACTTGTTGCTATGGCCACAGTGTATGAATCGATTAGTCATCGTATGAGCTTTTAATTGATATTCTAAATCGTCATTCATCATCCAATCCTCAATACCGTGAGGTTATGGTAGTTAAATTGGACAATGTAATCGCAGGTTGGCAATTAATGATCCGTAGATTAGATATAATTCTATAGATAATTTTTGTCATAAATATACCCCACATACATACATTTTACTAATGAATTATAATAATATCTAATACTTCAAATTAGAACTACGGCAGAAAAGTCAAACGGTAGTATACATAACCAAGGTGTATTTTACGCAAAGAATGCCTCTAGTGGACTAATATTATGAGATGAGGAGGCATAACATTCGAGTGTTCCGAGGATGAGGAGCACCTATCGTTGTCACAGGATAAAGAGATGTCTATGGTGGTGCGTGTATGTAGGCAATGGTTGCCACTTACCATCCGCTTTGTTTGTTGAGATGTCAGCTTTTTGACGATACTATTAAATAAAACAATATATTATATCTAAAAAGAATGCAATTATTTTACTTTAATTTTAATCCTAACTGTACCTATTTATTGGCTGAGACGGCCTCAATGGTCCAACAGTTTAGCACATCGCCTTGCTTCCGATGGTCGTAGGATCGATTTCTTGTACGATACTAACATTTGTATTCATGAGTATAATTGTTTGTATTGATCGGATGGTTTTCTATGTATGTTATGTCTCTATTTACAAAAATATACATATATTCTAAGTGTTTCTATCAGTTGCTTAGTACCCAAAACACAAGCTCTGCTTAGCTTGGGATAGATGGTGCTGTGTGGATTATCCAACGTTATTATTATTAAATAGATATATTTTTATTGTTCACAGATTCGTAATGGGCCACCGAGAATTTGTAGTCTTGGCGCTAAGCGTCGTCGGGGCCCTGGGGTTTATCCCCCATGGTTCTATTGGGGAAAAGGTCTGTATGCATTATTTTTAAAACTTATGTTTATGTTAATGTTAATTAAATGTTGATATTTTATGTGAAATTATAAACTTACTATTTTCTTACTATTTGTAATATATTTTATAACTTACTATTTATAATATATTTTATATGAAAACAGTAAGTTCATGAAATGATGAAATGTAACAAAATATATCGTTAATTGTAATCTACAATGCAATAATGATTCTACCAGATTAATATATTTCTGAAACTAAAAAATATCACACATATAAAACTATTTAGTATATCTTTAATAAAGTATATTTTTTACTCTTTTTATTATATAAACAATTCTTAAAATTAGTTATTGATATAAAAGTATTAAATTTACACTATATGAGTTTATCTATAAAAAAAACCCCCAACAGAGACCACAATCTTGAAAGCAATGTATTTATTTTTACATATTTGTACTAGGACCACATACTCACACAAGAAATACTTCGTGAGGTTGTGGAGCGTATGGGGAAGGACTTCAACGATGCTGCATCAAGCTACCTAGACTTCCCCCCGAGCGACCGCCATCTAGCGTTGATGGCCCGCGCCAGCAAGGACCTGGAGAACGAACAGCTCGACTACGACTCCCTGATAGACGGCAACCCCAACCCCAGCCTGCGCGACCAAGAGTACCTGCAGCACAGGTAACTAACAGGCGTCAGGTATATAGGCTACGGTAACCAATTACCATTAGATGAGCCGTACGCTTGTTCACCATAGTAGTATAAAAAAAACCTCACAGCAATCAACTGCAATGTGAACCAATCTTATTATTATTTATTTCAGGCTACTAATGGCTCCTATGATAAATACCTTACATACTAGCATACATATGACTTTATAATAAAATATAAAGTCTCCGTGATCACGCACTGATGACGGTAATCTGCCACGGTAGCACCGATATACCACCCCGTTCGACTATTAGTCCTCCTTCATGAAGGAGGTCAGCATGTTAGTGGACTTTAGAGAACCTAATTGCCTAGTGGTTAATTACTACGATCTATGGACTCCAAAGGTAGTAAGTTCAAATCAGATCACTCCAAAAACCTACCGCTTACCATCAAGTTCATTTTAAATGGAAAGCGTAGTTATGCGTGGTCATACAGCATGCTGTACTACGCATCTATAACTGTACAGTACGAATGGGCCAGCTCTAACCGTAAAATACCACATCTCTTCAGAATATCAATGTTAAGTTTTATCGCTTTTCGCATGGTAAGTCGAGGCTCCGGACGCCCGTCCTCCTAACTCCTATCCGTCTCTTTATTCCTTCCTCTACCCACTTCTTCTTAAAAGGCCGGGAAACTACTTTCATTTCTCCTGATGTTTCAGGTACTCATGGGCGATAATAAATAACCACTAACCATCAAATGTGCCACAAGCTCCTTTGGATTCAACAGTTTATTTATTTTTAGTTCGCTGTGGGGCCATCAGTACGTGACAGGTGGTGCTGGCGAGGGTGAACAGCGACTGCAGCCATCAGGCGTCGTCCCCAACAGGCAAATGATTAAGACCGACGCCGTTTTACCAGCATACTGCAACCCTCCCAACCCGTGTCCAGTCGGATATACTGGTAATGGTAATCACTTTAAAATATCAATTTTTTTTTATATTGTCTTTCGAAAAATACGTCTGCGGACCTCACTTTTCACTATTTTAGCCGCCAAATAACTTACTTTGTAGGATGGCTTTTGGTTTCAGTGAGATAAGTTAATAAAATCTAATCTAAATCTTAGAGACTTTTTTGTTTACTACGTTAGTAGATAATAAGTATAATATGAATAGATACTAAAAAAACAGTTATTAAAAATGTATTAAAATTTTATTATATTTTTAATAACTGTTTTTTCCATAGAAACTTTATGATATTATTATATAATGACTGCATATAATCAGTTCTAACAGGAAAATACCTACCTATTTTTTTATCAATACACATATTACAAAGTAGAAATACTTATTTTTTTATTATTAATCGATAATTTAAGAAAATTATGATTCTATAAATTCATTTACTTATAGAAACTGCTTTCTCAGCTAATAATATAAATTGTCTTATATATACTCGTAAACAGCGTCACTGGACACTAATAATTCATAAATAAATAATTTATGCATAATAAGTATTGATAAAAATATTTTTTATTAAAATAAGATTTTTCCTTCATTTGCTTTCACTTGTAAAATATTATTCTATAACAATACAGAAGACCAGGGATGCATAAGTGAGTTTGAGAATACAGCAGCATTCAGCCGCGAGTACCAACTGGCTCAACGGTGCATGTGTGATGGAGAGCACATGTTCAGCTGCCCACCCGACTCCTCCTCCGACTTGGACCTTCGATTTCCGGAGCACCACAAGAATCTCGTTGCCAAGAAATATAAGCCTGATGTTAGTTACGACTATTTATTTATTTATTAGAAACAAACAGCCTTGCATATAGGTACTACTTTAAATACATTCATAAATTTGGACCTTTAGTTATACGTAATTATTATTGTGTAGGTATATATAATAAGTATAATGATAATCCCTTTATTTAAACAAAGTTTAAATTTTAGACATTTATGTTCAATATAATAAATTTCATTCAAACATCCACACTTCCAAAGTGTCGTGTTTTTATAATTATTATGATTAAGATAAGATATATATTTTTTCCATTCCAGTTGCTTAAAAAAATAGTATATTTCGTATCTGCTTAGAGATAATAATATTCATGTTGCATTGTATTTTGTTTTCAGGTTGAGAACCCGTATTTAATGGGCGAGCGTCTACCTATCGCTGCCAAAAAGGGTTTTGATGTTACCGTATATTAATATGTGTAGTTATAATTAATTATATCATAATAATTAGTGTCTATTTTAACATTGTCCGGGGAGATTATACTCAAAGTGTCGTCTCTCCATTTATCTCTGTGAATTAAATGTATGGAATTTTCATATCTATTGCAACCTCATTTGGGATTAGTTTTTATGAGAACAGTTTTGATAGTTAAATAGGAGTATTCGGTGCATAATCATTATAATCGGAACCAAAATTGAGAATTTAAATTTTTTAATTAAAATTTCATTATAAATTTGAATATTTACAAAAAACGACTATCAAATTGGAGCGGATAGGTAGATAGGTAGGTTTCGGTATAGTTTTATTCACTAAAAGTGAATAAAGTTAGGTACACAATTTAAAGTTTGTAAAGTATATCGCATTACATATGGCTCAAATTTAAAAACAATTTCTCTACAAAAGTTATCGGAAACCATTAGACAATCAGTATTGGTCAATTCATAATATATTTTGTTTCACATTTCTACGCTTATTATAATTTCTTCAATTGCAGGGTATAAAGTTGGACCTAGTTTTCGTCTCTCCTAAATTTCGCTATCCTATCTTAAGTTGCAAATTTTTCAATCTATTCTAAACTGTCCTACATCTTATATTGAATAATTTTGAAAGTATAACTATAGAATAGTATATTTGAATCGACTACGTCGGTTTATAATGATTCTAAAATATTATATTACCCATATTAGTGTTTAGGATACGGTTATTTGCATGTAATATTAAAGGAATTACGGCACGCTAGTAATCTCACTTTCAAGTAGATATCGCTAGGTGATGACAAAGAAACTTTCTTGTTGTATTTTAAAGGAGTAAAGGATAATATGAGCAGTCAAATCATTAAATACTCTATAAATAAATATTTTTACTCCTCATAGGTAATACAAACAAATGTTACGTTCACCCATAACTTTCTCTATAAAGTCTTTGAAGATGTTGTTAATGCTCATACATTATTTTAAAGGAGTAATGGATAAAATGAACAGTCTAATGAGTAAATACTCCATAGATACGTATTTTTGCTCATCATAGATAATACAAAGAAATGTTATGTTTACCCATAACTTTCTCTATAAAGTCTTTAATGATGTTGTTAATGCACATACATTATTTTAAAGGAGTAAGGGATAAAATGAGTAGTCTAATGAGTAAATACTCCATAGATACATATTTTTGCTCCTCGTAGATAATACAAAACAAATATTACGTTCAGCCATAACTTTCTCTATAAAGTCTTTAAAGATGTTGTTAATGCTCATACATTATTTTAAAGGAGTAAGGGATAAAATGAACATGCTAATGAGTAAATGCTCCATAGATATATATTTTTGCTCATCATAGATAATACAAACAAATGTTACATTCACCCATAATTTTCTCTATAAAGTCTTTAATGATGTTGTTAATGCTCATACATTATTTTAATGATGTAGATATATATTTTTGCTCATCATAGATAATACGAACAAATGTTACATTCACCCATAATTTTCTCTATAAAGTCTTTAATGATGTTGTTAATGCTCATGCATTATTTTAAAGGAGTAAGAGATAAAATAAGCAGTCTAATGAGTAAATACCCCATAGATACGATATATGTATATTTACTCCTCATAGATAAAACAAAGAAATATTACGTTCACCCATAATAACTTTCTCTATAAAGTCTACAACGCTGTTATTGAAACTAATCAAACATCAGAGAGAAAAATTAGATTTGCCGTTATACTAAGTAATCGGGTGGTAGGGCGTGGGTACTCTGTCTCACCTATTTCAACCGCTAAGCAGCTTGCTTTATAGGCTGTGTTTAGGTTGGAGGGTGAGACATGGTAGTGAAATTACAGGATACGATAGTCCTCCAAATTACAACTCATGGGGGCACCATATGATGTCGTGATAACCATGGTGTAGTTCTTTTAAGCGATAGGTGACATTTAAGATCAAATAGACCATCACCTGGTTTGTATACTCCCGAAAGATTAGGTTGATTAAATCACATATTACAATCAAAATGGGAAAGTGTCTTGTATGTGTTGATGCAGTGACTGTAGTATGCCGAGATAGGTATCGTGGAGTTTTAGTAGTTCCAACATTTGAAAACGTGTGAAGGTTGACGAATATATACATTTTCCCGATCTGCAGTTTACTCGTAATCATTGCGGTTGCAACATAGGAGAGAATTATCAAGAACTCAACAACCATAATGGCTGTTATCGCAATTGGGGTATTCAGATACATTTTCAACAATTGATTAATACACCATTTGACAAATTTGACAAAATGACAACATTTGACAAATCCTAAATCCTAAACCCTAACTCTCTCTAAGGTAATAAAGCCTACCGCTGTTTCGGAATAATTTTTGGTTTTCATATCGATGTTTCCTTCACCCGAATCAGTCAAAAATATAAATTACTTTAATTAATTTAAGTTATACACAAAAGTTTGCATTTCTTGTCTGCTAGATTTGAACTCACTATCTGTTAGGTGGAATTCAGGGCAATAAACCAACAAGCCATTGGCTCTCAGGAATTCAATAATACGAAAAAAACGTGATATGGTTCCGTTATTTCTTTAATATTGCATTTAAATATATATATATATATAAGTTATATTGAATGAAGGTTAAATTGTGTAATTATCGTAGATATATAAAGACACACTGAGTAATAGGTAATACATAATAGGTAAACGTTAAAAATAATATATTATTTGCAGTAAGGGGCTATCCATAAATTACATCGTACGATTTTCTTCTTCCCTTCTTCCCCATACATTTTTTTTTTATTTTGCAATTCGATTTTGCTAATAAATCAATATAACATCAATTGGTTCTGAATACTTTGTACCTTTAGTATAGCATCCTTTTTTAATATAATGTTGTTTCTCAAATATACTAGACTACAGACTCTACTATTTCTCCCACTTCTTTGTCACACTATGTCAAACTGTGACGATCCTCACCCCTCCCCCACTTACGTTCGTCGTAGTTTATGAGTAACCCCTAAACCTACTGTATGTATAGTTTACTTTAGTTTAACAAATTTCTAAACGCCGAAGCTGTGAATTTTGTTAGGTGTAAATATATTTGCTGGATTTGTAGACATTTAATTTATTAATATCTTTGGAATAAGTAACCATCTCTAATGTTGAAGAACTAATGTAATATCAATAATATTTTCTAAGCGAAATATCGTTTTGAAAATATTATAAATATTAATAGAGATATGGAAAATATGAGAAATTACTGGAAAGAGGCTTGTCATCATCTTCCTCTGGAATGGCAGGTATCACTGGCATTACATGATAATGTTATGCCCATACTGCATTCATATATCGCGTACCTAATGCAATACTGAAAGTATTAAAAAATACAGATCGAAAATGCACTCTAAATTTTAAAGAATAAAGTCTAATACCAAAAAAGAACGTTTTTTTAGTCAATCCAGTAATGTATTACATATGCGATATATGCGACAGTCACCGCTTACCATCAGGTGGACCGTGAGCATGCTATTCTAATTAAACAAAAAACAAAAAAAGAGTTGTTCCATGTTCCTCTTTTGAAGTCTTACATAGTATTAATATAAATAGGCTTAATTACTTATATGGAGACATAAAGTGTAAATCCGTAGGTTATTAACAAAATCGATATATAGAACAATCGTCTGAATAATCGTAGAAAGCATGTAATATAATATAGGTATATAATAGGTTATAATTACATTAATTAAGATGGCTACACATAACACAATTTGTAACAGCACAACTGATTATTTTATTAAGTGATTTTTTTATAAACTTTTATTATATTTTATAATTATAAACATCTTATGCTATTTTTATGTCGTATTTATATTGTTTTCTAAGTAATAATTAAAGTTCATATCACATATTTAAAGTATATAAAATCCTTTAATTATTTATTAAATAGTGGGAACGAAAATATTCACTCCACATAAATGTTATAACTCTATATCTACACATAATAAGATGCAATCGATGTTTTATAAATTGGAATGTCATTTATTTTTCAAAATTTATTAAAATAAAAAAAAAATAATAATAAATTATTACTTTGTGAACAACAACATTGAAATTAATAATATATCTCTATTTACAACAAAATACAACAACAGTCAAATACACAAATGTACAGTGATATTATTCATAATTTTACAATATATCCAGCTAGTAGTTCTTACTTAGAAAACAATTTGTCTTATTTATATTATGCCTAAGTTGCTTAATCTTAAATTGTTTTACAGGATTTTTACAATATATTTTTTTTTTATCTCCAGTAAGCTAAGACTCTAGGTTTATTAATACATACGAAGAAATGACATTAAAGACGGGGTATAGAGTAGTGATAAGTATTAATAGTACTGAAAACATTTGAAAATGTCCGTAAATGATTTTTATTAGTTGATAATGTAAATAAGAAGATTATTATAGTATTAAAACGTAATATAATGTAAGTATTTCGCATTTCATCAATATTATGTGATGATAAATTAAATGGGACAAAATATATCATGCAATGTATATAAAATAGATTATAAAGTTTAGTGGATAGTAAAGATAAAGATAAGAAATGAATATATTCTAATAGCTACGTGTACTTAGTACATAATTAATTATTAATATTAATATTAAGTTGTAAATTTGAAAAACTCACACCGATATCCACATGAAAGCTTGTAGTGTAAATAATTAGGATTGGATTAATTATATTTAATTATTAATTAATGGATATTCCTCCTAATGTACGATGATGGCAACTCTATACTAGAACCACGAGGGCCAAGCATGTCATTATTTGCATCTGTAAATCCTTTATAATGGAGAAATTTTGAAAATATTCAACATCAAAAATTTGGTAAATTTACAGAATATGGTCTACTGTCATTTATAGTTCAGTCGAAATTAGATTATTTACCTTAAATGCACATAATACAAAAAATAATTCGTTTGCTGCACTTAACATCAT